ATGTTTCAACAATTTCCATTGTGGTATGTATTATTTACCCCAGATATACATATTGTATGTGTAAGTGTAGCTATATCTTTTTTAAACTTTGTCACTATTTGTTATTCGTGTCTATGAAAAAGATGATACGAACCAAGTTATCGGTCATTTTAGAAACAATGGGGGTTTTTATCGCTTACTTGGCAATAGAGGAATCTAATGACACTATGAGCTATTTAACGAGTAGATTGTAAAAAGCAAATAGAAAACAATATTCCGTTACTCTTTCTGATTGAACAGTGTTTTTTTTTTGTAACAGTTACAGCTGCTACGAACGGTTTTATATTATTTTACATATAATTGGATACTATCATAATAATATAAAAATAAAAAAAGGGGGCATCGCGATGACCTTTGACCTTTTAGCAATATTATTAGTGTAAAAAACTAATATGTATTTCTGTACTCGAGTGCATTTAAATCTGATGTAAAGTGGCTTTATAGTTATGTATATGCATGTGCTGTATAGAGATATAACAACAACAACATAAAGCTTGATTAAATGGTGTGGTCAACTAACTGAAATAATATTGCGGAAAAAACGGGCTAACCATAATGCAATGACAAGGTTGCGGTCAGTTTGTAATTTCAAACAAAAAGCTGTGTCGATTACAAAACCAACAGATAAAACAAAAGCCACATTTTTTTCATTCATTGCAGGTCTTACAATTTTCAGGATATTAATTCTTCTATCGCAGCCAAAGCCACATTTGAATGATTTTCCTCGATTTTCTTTGTTGTTTTCCAGTTAAATTACTCCAGAAACGACAACAGTAGTTCCATTACGTTATAAATCTGTTAATCAAATCTCTATAAAACTTTATACTAAGTAATTACAGCAACTGCATTAGGTTTTCTACAAGGTTTCCAGAAGTTTATCCAAACTTTTCAGGAAACCATAACAACTTTACTAGGTTTTCTAATAGTGTTTGAGATATTGTTAAGCATCCGCTTTAATTGAAGAGATAACAAACACAACAAATTTTTTGGAAGTTTACTTTTAATGCTAGACTAAGTTACATTTCAATGATTGAATCAAAGTAATATACTGGACCTTTACGAGATCACCAAGAAGGTTATCTAAACTACAGTAATTACTCTAGGTTTTACAGGTTTTGAGACATTCTTAGTTGATTCCTTACCGAAATTTTTGCAAAAACGGTAACAAAAACCAACGTATATCTTTAAGACATTATCTCTTCGACAATTTTCTACTAGACTGTAGTTCATGGGTACTTTATTGAACAAAAATTACTTGCTTCCCACCTTTCACAATCATATATGATCATGCCATGAACCACGAAAATTAAACAATGCAAAACAATCAAATACAAACAGCAGACCTTCGGTATTGTTATGTTAATAAAATTGTCTTGCATTACAATTTCTACGCGCTAGTGGTCTTAAAAACGTGCGCCAAGGTTAAGTGGACTACTTTTGGTGTTAAATTCTGAACCTACCTACAACTTTTGTACGTAGTTGCGTAATAAACAACAAACTTTTACATCATCTACGAAAATACAGCTTGATTAATTTCCTCTTCACACGAAAATTTCCAAATTTAGAGGTTTATCTCATTAGAAATAAAAAAGAACGAACAGCTAAATTAAAATATAACAAATGCAGTTGTCTTTTTAAAAAATTATACATAGTCTTGAAGCTAATTGATTAGTAAACACTCTGTATGTTGCAACATTTTATAGTTTTATGCAGATGTATCTTTGGATCAAATTGGCAAGGTTGCTAAATTAAAGAACTGACATGTAGTTTAAGCAAGAATCAGCAGGTCTAGTAGTTTGTGATGTCACAAAAACTGTATTTGGGGGCCCATATAGGGGAAAAAACATCTTAAAGTTTCGCGAACGTTTCTAACGCGGAAGTCGAAGTCAAATAAGAGGGCAAATACTTTTAAAACAAAATAATATTTGAAATTTGCCTAATGTTGAGTATATGTATTTATGTATTTCGGAGAGTTAGGATTAAGATTAAATTATGATACATGAAGATAAATTTTACCTATTTATATGAATCTACAAATGAAAATTTATTTAATGTCTTTGTTTTATCTTCCAGTTTTCCTATTCGGAAGTTTTTCTCATTTGTTTGACGTTTCTTCTGTTTTGTCATTCCCAGTCTTGGTATATCTTCTCCGGGTCTCTGTCCTACCTCTTTTTTCTGTTTATATTTACCTTTGCTACCTACATTCTTTTGCCTATCCAAATTACCCTTGCTGCATTTCTTCTATTTCTTCCATAATCCATAACATTTCTTATCTTTTGTTTGCCTTATAATTCCCTATTTAGTATTGCGGATTCACTTCGTATAATAACAGTAATTTACATATTCTTGTCTTTATTTCTCTTGAAACTTTCTCTTGAAGAAACATATTAATTAATGACAATCTTTTGCTGACTTGGAAATTTTTCCAATTACTTCCATTGTTAATCATTACTCTTTGGCATTTATATCTATTAATTTTTCATTCCTTTTAACACAAACTTCAGGATTTCTACACGTATTTCTTCTAAATGAAATTCCAAAACTTTTAGCTCTGAGCAAAAGTGCTTTGATAATTATTCTACTATCTTCTCGACACACTGATCACTCTGTACATAATTACAGCAGATACAAGCGCAACTTCCTGCTAATAAAACACACAAGATAAAATTTGCTTCCTCATTTAGTTAGTTCTTTTATTATTTCGGCTTGCGCATCCGAAAGGGATAACTTTGTACAACTTCCTGCTGATTGTGTATAAGCTAAAATGTACACGTACACATATGCATCATGTGCATACACATCCTTTCTCCTAGCCTCTTTCGTACTGTTGGCTGATTGTAAAATGTATGTATATACATATGTGTGTATGTAGATGTATGCATGTATGCATGAAAAACCACAATCCGCTCTCCAGTTCGAGTAATGAATGGAGAGAGAGGAAACTGGTAATCATCTAAGTAACCGGATGTAAGATATCTACACGACAACTTCTTTTTTTAATTTAAAGTCGTAAGGACATTTTTAAAACTGAGGAAAATCTGTTTTGCAATCGGTATTGATAAAGGGATAGTTAATTCTGATCAACAATTGTATTAATAAATAAGCTAGAAGATATACAACGACTTCCCAAACCATTCGTATTACAATGTCATTAGACTTTCAGTCTTTTTCTGTTATTAAGTTGCATGCACCTTTTATTTATTAATTTCCACTTTTATTAGTTCTAAATACTAAAATTTATGCAGTCTCATAGTCATAGTTCTGTAAAATACGGTGTGGCACATGTCCACGAAGTAGTTTCAGAATTTTGGTATAAATCGTAAGGAATTGGACTAAAACAGTAATCGAAGAAGACAATCGAAAATTCGTCGAACATTTCGTTACTTTATTACAGCTTCTTCAGCAACAGCAACTCCTTTTAATCAATTGAAAGTAAACCCTTTGGTTCTCTTTTGAACTAAACCATAATTCTGTTGACCTCAAATCAATAGCTACGTAAACTGATAAAATGTTCAACAAAATTTCGAATGATTTATACCAAAAGTTCTCGTTTTATTGTAACTGTCTTTTTACAGTTAACTGAGGGAGATTGATATCAAAAGATTATTCATTTCGAAATTTCGATTTTGTAATAGATGGTCCCCATTTCGAAATGCATGGAATACACCCACTCGTCTCCGATAAACTCTTTTATTATTACTACTGGACCACCAAGATGAAACTTTGAAACATCTGTCAGTACAGCTGTAAAGCATATTACTTGAGAAGAAACCAACACAACTAAATATACATATATTTTGTAACATACGGTGCTTTAAATATATATTTACACTGTTTTAAAAGTATTAACAACAAACAAAATTCTTATATCGTGTCTAACATGTGTGTCGCAAAAAGAATAAATAAACCCAGTAGGTAGAATTAATAATTAGTTACCATAGTTCGTAAGTTTTATAAATTAAACATCAATAAAAGTTTTTTCTTTTTGTTTTCGTTACCTCTTTGAGAATCTCCTCAATTTTTAATGCATTAGAAGTAGATTTACCCTTAACAATGTTTCCCTTTTATAAGTGCTTCCGGTGCTGATTGCAGGAAACAAAAACAAAGGCATTTGTAATAACAACAATCTCAACCACAATGCCATAAATACATTTATTAATCAGTTGTTGCACCTAGAAACCATATTACAAATTATTACTTAAAAGGAATACTTATCTAAACGAGCTATTAATCAAATAACAAGAAAAAGACTGCAGGATTAAGCCTGACTCGCACTACTTACTTTAAACACTTACTAAAATTCTCAATATCTAATAATCTTATCTGAAAATATTGATATCCAATGCTACAAATACTATAAAATTGTACATTAAATCAATTCATCAGTCATTTATCCTACATTGTAGAAACTTATAGACGCGCTAGTTGGTGCAACTAAAGTTATGTATAATAAAGTTACAAAAAAAGGTTACCATCCACTCCTCGCATTTTAAGAAATATTAGTAATGTAGAATATCTAAAATTATTAAGTAAGTATAATTGTGGTCTTTAGTTTCTATAATTCAAAGCCAAATAAATATCTACACATCTACAAATTTACCAAAAAATAAAACACATAATAAGCAAATATTAATCTTGACTAATAATACCACTGTGGTTCCAGTGCCAATTAGGTATCTATTCATTAACCTCTATCGTCTTAAATTATTAATTCTAATCATTAACGATTTCATAATTATTGTCAAAAAATTTTTTGAGCCTAATTTGAATTGGAGCCCCATTCAATTTTCACATAGATATTTAAGAAGAATTAAATTCTGTTCAGTACTTTTACCAGTACCTAAAGATTTTTGAAGATGAAGACTGGCAAAAGAGGCTGAACTCGTACGTTGAGAAAAATCGAAAAGGTAAAAGGGAAATCTTTAGATTCGTAATCGAAACGAAGTGAAGTTAAACATGCTTATTGACTATTTATTTGACACCACACTCTAAGACTGTTGTCACTATGAGATTCTACGTACTTTTTTACGTAACTATCGCTTTTTAAAGCTTAGTAAATATTTTCAATCTCCCAGAAATTTCTCGAGCGTTTTTCTATATTTATATATTTTTATCTACTTTAGCAAGAACAATGCCGTAAGGTATCTGTTTCACACCGCACTCGAAAACCGTTGGCACCATGAGATTCTACGTACTTTTTTACATAATTATCACTTGTTATCTATTAGTAAATGTCTTCCATCTCCCAGAAATTTCAGGAGCGCTTTTCTATGTTTAGATTATATTACATATTTTAGCAAAATTGTACTGAAAGGTAGCTATTTGACATCGCAGTCAAAAACCGTTGGTACCATGAGATTCTACGTACTTTTTTACATAATTATCACTTGTTATCTATTAGTAAATGTCTTCCATCTCCCAGAAATTTCAGGAGCGCTTTTCTATGTTTAGATTATATTACATATTTTAGCAAAATTGTACTGAAAGGTAGCTATTTGACATCGCAGTCAAAAACCGTTGGTACCATGAGATTCTACGTACTTTTTTACATAATTATCACTTGTTATCTATTAGTAAATGTCTTCCATCTCCCAGAAATTTCAGGAGCGCTTTTCTATGTTTAGATTATATTACATATTTTAGCAAAATTGTACTGAAAGGTAGCTATTTGACATCGCAGTCAAAAACCGTTGGTACCATGAGATTCTACGTACTTTTTTACATAATTATCACTTGTTATCTATTAGTAAATGTCTTCCATCTCCCAGAAATTTCAGGAGCGCTTTTCTATGTTTAGATTATATTACATATTTTAGCAAAATTGTACTGAAAGGTAGCTATTTGACATCGCAGTCAAAAACCGTTGGTACCATGAGATTCTACGTACTTTTTTACATAATTATCACTTGTTATCTATTAGTAAATGTCTTCCATCTCCCAGAAATTTCAGGAGCGCTTTTCTATGTTTAGATTATATTACATATTTTAGCAAAATTGTACTGAAAGGTAGCTATTTGACATCGCAGTCAAAAACCGTTGGTACCATGAGATTCTACGTACTTTTTTACATAATTATCACTTGTTATCTATTAGTAAATGTCTTCCATCTCCCAGAAATTTCAGGAGCGCTTTTCTATGTTTAGATTATATTACATATTTTAGCAAAATTGTACTGAAAGGTAGCTATTTGACATCGCAGTCAAAAACCGTTGGTACCATGAGATTCTACGTACTTTTTTACATAATTATCACTTGTTATCTATTAGTAAATGTCTTCCATCTCCCAGAAATTTCAGGAGCGCTTTTCTATGTTTAGATTATATTACATATTTTAGCAAAATTGTACTGAAAGGTAGCTATTTGACATCGCAGTCAAAAACCGTTGGTACCGTGAGATTCTACGTACTTTTTTACATAATTATCACTTGTTATCTATTAGTAAATGTCTTCCATCTCCCAGAAATTTCAGGAGCGCTTTTCTATGTTTAGATTATATTACATATTTTAGCAAAATTGTACTGAAAGGTAGCTATTTGACATCGCAGTCAAAAACCGTTGGTACCGTGAGATTCTACGTACTTTTTTACATAATTATCACTTGTTATCTATTAGTAAATGTCTTCCATCTCCCAGAAATTTCAGGAGCGCTTTTCTATGTTTAGATTATATTACATATTTTAGCAAAATTGTACTGAAAGGTAGCTATTTGACATCGCAGTCAAAAACCGTTGGTACCATGAGATTCTACGTACTTTGTTACATAATTATCACTTGTTATCTATTAGTAAATATCTTCCATCTTCCAGAAATTTTACGAGCGCTTTTCTATGTTTAGATTAATTTATATACTTAGTTTAGCAGAAAGAAAACAGTTGTAACTTCTTGTAATTTTTTTAAATCACATAAAAATTTAAGGACTAGCACTGGTACTTAAAAATCACGCCCATAACGTGGGTTTTCGTTTTTAAATAAATATTTTCTAGGTTTCCATTCATATCATTTTTCAGGGTCACGCTTCACTCCAATGTCGCCATTTCTAATGTTAGATGTGAGACTAAATCACATATGTACATAATCGTAACATTAATGGGAATATGCGTTGGAAGATCTAATCATTATTATTTATATATAATACACTGTAAAATCTTAATATAAAAGTGATGATAATTCTGAAACGCGGCTTGTTTTCGGTGGTAGTTAAGACATTGCAGGAATCTGGTAACTTATCGTAAATAAATTTCTGTTGGGGTTTTAGAGCTTGTAAACGGAAATTGTTTCATCGTAGAATGGTGGGTGTAATGACTTCCTAAGTTGGAGTATATGTAGTCGGAACATTAGTCTTTTTAGGAAGCATGCTAATCAAAAATTCAATAATTTATTACTACGTGTGGCAACATTGCTACATCCCCCACATCAGCTCCGTTTAACAGTCATTGAGACGAAGAACAGTGTAACTACGCTGGCGCAAAACTGCATACCACAGTCAGCAGTGCCAGTCGGGGTCACTTTCTCGTCCTGTATTTATGTCTGTGTAGTTTCGTTACGTAGTGTTTGGTGAAAATGGCCACCTTTTATTAAAAATTACAATTCTGGAACGTTTTTTTGTTAAGGTTAGTAGTAACCAGGTACTTTTTAGTAGTAACAATAGTTGATTTCGTATATTGAGTAGAAAGTAGTAGTTTTTGTGAGGGGGGCCATATGTCGCTTCCTCGTACCCTTCTGTACCAACGATGGCCGAATTTCGTGGTAATTGAATGCATTATTTAAAAAAATCAAATAGAAAGTCACGTTCTCCATTCGTGTATGCGGTTTCATGTAGAAGTTGCCGGGTCTGCTTCGTTCGCGTCAGTTCGTGCTAATAGGAATAAGGTCTGGAATGCAGGCTCGGCCTGTCTCACGGTTTTTTTTTTATTTCCCGCGCTGGGTCATTGATGTGATCTTGCTGGAATGTAGTAGGGCGAGAAACTGATGGGCTCGGGGGTGCGGGGCACGGTACAGAATGGAATGTTGGAATCGTGAATGGTCTTTGAGATCTGGGCAGTTCTGCCTTGGATGCTCTCAGACTAGCAGTGCGACATTCTCTAACGGCAGAGCTCGCGAACCGTAACTGTACAACACTCAAGCTTAAGTGTTAAATTATTTGTTACAGAAACAGATTTAGAAAGAATGCTACAAAATCGTCCTGCACTACACCACACTGAACCATTAAAAGACACCTCAGAGACAGACAATGGAGGCTGCAACCATACACTTCAAAATGGGACAAGAGAAGAAACTGATAATGGCAGAAATAACTCCTGCATGCGGAAAGAAGCGAACCGTTTAAAATCCTTTGTCAATTGGCCCTGTAAATTCTTAAAACCAGAACAGTTGGCAAAGGCTGGATTCTATTACACCCAGTACGGCGATAAGGTCCGTTGCCCGTTCTGTAACGTTGAAGTCGGCCAGTGGGAAGAAGGGGATGATCCTTTATCTGACCATGCCCGATGGAGTGGTTCTTGTGTTTTTTTAAGGCAGCGACCATGTGGAAATATATCTATTGAGGAAGACCCTAATCCAGTAATGCCTCAGGGCTACGACACTTGCGGCAAATACGGCATCGAAGTTAGGCCTAATTCATTTCCAGGTAGAGAGTCTGATCAGTGTGGGTCTCAGGAAAACAGCTTAAGAAAATATGGAGTGCAATCAAATCTAGGAACAGCCCATCCTAACTATGCCCTCCTTGAAAAAAGACTTGCAAGTTTTTCAGAGTGGCCTCCATCTATAAAACAGACTCCCAAGCAACTTGCTGAAGCCGGATTCTTCTATAATCAAAAGGGAGACCAGACCATTTGTTTTTATTGTGGCGGTGGACTAAAAGATTGGGTTCCATGTGATGATCCCTGGGAGCAGCATGCAAAGTGGTTTTCAAATTGTGGTTTTGTTCGTTTACAGAAAGGAAGTGAGTACATATCAGAAGTATGCAATAGGCTAGAAAATGCAGTAATAACTTCAGAAGAAGCTAGTGGACTTCAAATGACTGAAACTAACAACTTAAATAAGAATAATATTTCTAACACTACCGGTCTTCAAGCATCATCATTAAACATTGTGGATCAGAAGACATCTCCCAAATCATTGACTGAAGAAAATACGGTATCAGAAAACACATCAAGTGAAGGCAACAAACCTGGAACGACTAGTACTTTATGCAAGATTTGTTATTCTAAAGAAGTGGGTGTTGTTTTTTTGCCGTGTGGACATATTGTTGCATGTGTAGATTGTGCTCCTGCATTAACCACTTGTGCAGTTTGCAGGAAACCCCTAGAAGCCATTGTCCGTGCGTTCCTATCCTAAGTCAATTTTTAATATTAAGACAACATTCAAATTCACCACAATTATAAAATTACTCCAGATCATCACAATAAAAAGTGGTATAAACTTTAAATTTTTTATTATATTTGATTTTTTTTTGTACATAATTTAAAAATCATAATATTCTGCTTATTTATTGTAGTTTATGAATGTTGTGTTAATTAATATTATAGTACCTGATATCATATGATTCCTATTAATTAAATAATAAATTATCTTTCTCTGGCATATAAAATTAATTTTTCTGTTTCATTAATTATTTTTTTTTTTTTGAAAAATCTTTTTATGGTGATCTGGAGATTATTAGAAACCACTAGTAATCAAAGAAACATTAATAAACTGTTCTACAAAAATAAATTAGAATGGAATATGTGTATTTTACATTTATCAAACTGTTTATTTCTTGTTTTATATCAGCCTTTAAACCATACACAAAAATAAACTTGCATTCATTACCTTTACAGATATAAATAAAATGAAGTGTTGGTACTTTTTACAATTAATTTAATTTGCAAATTCAGTTTCATTTAGTATTTTGTTGTTATTTATTTTTGATTCTGTAAGGGTTCTGAATGAAAAACAGTTTAGTAAGTGTGATGAAAATAAAGGGAGGAATAAAATTTGTACTGAAAATAATTTAATTTTTTACTTATTGAAATAAATTGCTTTAGTTTTATGAATGTAAAAAAATACTACGCTTATTAATGTTATAATCAACTGGATTTTCATTGTTTCTGACTGATGGACTTGCTAGCTCTGCATTAATTACATTTCGGTAAAATTGAAATAATCTATTTTCTTTTTATTAAGTTGGTTTACTTTTTTTTAACTGTTGAGTTAGAAAAGTCTAAATTATGCAGCTTTTTTATGTTACTATTTTTATTAAAAGGATTGATCTGGTAGAGTTTTGAGCGAGGATTTATGTATTTATTATACTAAATAAAATTATTCATAGCATACTGTTGGTTTTATTTTATTTTGTTCGATTAATTCGTTTCCTTCGTGCTTCCCTGTTTGTTACGCCAATGGCTACTGTGCTATTTATAAATCAGCATTATGAAAGTTGTGCTCAGTTATGGATATTTGAAAAGTTTCTTTGTTTATGGATTTTAATTCTTGTTATGTAAATAACACTTTAAACGTCAAAGTTCGAAAAACCGTTACATTTAACTATTATTTTTAAAATTATTAATTAAAAATGAATGAACAACAAATTGACGAAGAGGAAGATTGTTCCTGTGATGAGTGGTCTAGTGGTTCCAGTTATTGCGATTCGGAAAGGTAAAATATTTATTGCTTTAGTATTAGTTTACCAAAGAAAAATACTTTTAGCACAATTCCTGAGTGGGATGCTTTTATTGAACCAAATGGGCAATTACTTTTCATCGACTGTTTCCCAAAAGTCTCTCACACAGCATCAGAATCAAATTCCAGTAGTAACTTTTTCACAAAATCCCAAGCAAGGCAGAGTACACGTAGCAAGTTTTTGAGGCTTCTTAGAAGAAAGAACAGCAAAAGGTTTCATAAACCTATAGAAATTCCCGTTGCTGATAATAAAGTGAAATTTTACGACCACCCAGAAGGAGAATTAAGGGAAGTTATTATCAAAGTGAATAATGATAATCAAAAGTTAGGTCCCAAAAACAGTTTAGTAGAATCATTATTAGGACTGACAGTTGATACATTGTCTGATGGAAGCAGACTAATGATATCAGGATTTGATCCTGATGCCATAAAACACAAGGGCATTAAAATAGGGGACTGGCTAAAGAGCATAAATGAAGTACAAGTTACATGCAATAATTTGGACAGTGTTTTGGAAAGTTTCGTATCATTGAATGAGGTAACACTTAAACTACAGCAAGTATCTGGTGTAGAAGTTACAAAACACCCTCCTATTAATAAAATAAGCATCAGATCACAGTTTGTACAGCTTTTAACAAATAGTAATAAAGAACATTCAGAATCATTAAAGGAGGCATTAGCTTCTGAGTTAGTAGGGGTGTTGTTTTTAAAAACAGAAGGTCTTAAAGAAGATAGTCCTGAATTTGAAGAAGTCCTGTACAACTTTCCTATGCCTTATAATAAAAACATTTTATGTACGTCCAGGGGAGCTTTTTTAACTCTCAATCATTTAATTAATGAAATGGTATCTTCAAAGCCACATGTTTCCTCAATTAATTATAAAAATCAATTGGCACACGTAATTTATGTGTCATGTGGATCTAAACTACTGTTGTTTATGTTCCCTGATAAATGTTTGTCAGTTGAAGGTTCACAATTAGTTGCAGAAGAAATATTTCGAACAATTGAGTTCATGTATCAATCATTGGAGCGCTTTTTAGAGACGACGTCTTTAAGAGATGAAGTTGACCACTTCTTCTTGAGGGTATTTACTAGGATTCTCTGGCCAGACACCGTGCAATTTTCTAGCGATCCGAAAGCAAACAAACCGTGGAGATTTGAAGACTTATTATTAGGTGCCAAGTATCTTATTCTTCCCAATGAAGCCCAGATGCAGGTCGATGATGCCTTGTCAGAATTGGAAGCCAGTGATTATAGAGAATGGGTAAACATGTCTTTACATTTGTACATTTTTAAACTTAACAAATCTATTACCATATCTTAACATTATTTAGAACGAAGATCCTTTAGATTGTCAGAGATTGTTCACAATACTAGGCAGTGCCTTATATCATCAGGGATTTCTGTTAACATCCCATTTTGTTCACGATGACCTGATAGATGTTACAAGTTTCTGTAAACAGCAAGGACTCTTTTATTTATCTGCAACAGAACCTTTGAAATGTTTAGTCTTGTGGAAAGAAGTATTCCCGTCATCTTGCAATAGGAGCCTCCCTAATACTGAATCACTATTTAAAGTTCCTGAAGGAAAACGCTATTTGCTCGTTGTTGGGGGTGGAAAAGTAAGAATATGATTTTTTTAGAGAATAGGAGATGTCGAATTATTTTTTAGGACTTGTTGGCCGTTTTAATGGAAGCAGGTGGTTGTACTGAGACCCCTGAGGACAACATGGGTCCCGATCCTTTCTACGTCGAAGAAGTTGAAGCAACATTATCGCATTTAAAAGAATTAGGAATATCTGATGTTGCTGATCATTGTCTACAAACTAACCCAGGGAGTCAAATCGTTCTTCCAGAGGGTTTTTGTGAAAAGAAAAAAGCTGATTTCTTTTGTAAGACAATTCCTTTACATTATTTATTCACGCTTTGAATAAAATAAAATATTAATTATTATTCTTGTCTGCAAATACAGATTGATTAAATTGATCAACTGTGGTAAATGTTTTATATAATTAAAATAGATACTTTTAGAACTTAAATTGTATATGTATGCTTAAATCTTCTATCCAATTTTTGCTTATTTAGAAATTATCTTCCAGCGTCGTTGTCGAAGTCGACGTTAAGTTTGAACAAAGAGGGTCCACCACATTTGCAGAAGAAAACTGAGGTGACATCAATTTTGAAAAGAAGAAGCTCTGACCAGGGTCCACTGTATACTACGGGTTCAGTTTTGTCTTGGAATGAGGACAACTTGGAGGATTCTGTGAGTCAGAGCAGTTACAGTGAAAAAAGCGAGATATCTGATGAGCCTATTTTAGGGCGCAGGGCTACCAGAGAAAAGAAGCCTTTTATAGATTCTCCAAACGACGATTCAGATATTGACGACTATAGGGTAACAATTAATACATATTCAATAAGAATTTTATCATTTTTACCTCAATTCTTTTTAAGGATGGGAGTCAAGCGAGTACCAGCAGCTTTGATTTATCTGAATTAAGACAAAATTTGATAATGGAATCTGAGGATATGCAGCCAATGTGCCTTACTGGTGGCACTGAAAATGTTCTTTTTCATTATGTTCAGTTTGACTCAACTGAAGGAGTCCTATTGCTACCGCCTCCATGCAGGGTTAACTCTCAACTACTTCAACTAATACTGGATAATTTTCACAGATGTTCTCGGATGATCCACGAAACATTTAAAAATACGTTACGCTTTAAGGTAAAAACATTATATATATTCTTATTACGAACTTTTAATGTGATAATTTTGCTACTATTAGAAAATGCTTGCCGAAAATATGGCAAAGTCCGTGCTTAACAAAAGTCTAATTGCTATTAAGGAACAAGGAACTTTATTCGAATTAACCGTTAACGACGAAAACCCGAAAAAGACACAACGAATTTCGTACTGGGTTGTCGGGTAAGGTTTTTGAAATGCCTGTATTTTTTGCTTTCTAATTTTCCTATAATATTTTAGGCGTCTTTTTTACGATCCGCATCCACGTGAAGTATACATTTGTTATCATGAATCTGTGCCTCAAAACATCGTCGAAGTTGCTTACAAACTAAGCTTAACATTAGCCGGTTAGAAATATGATGTGAAAGAAGTAGCGGTAACATTTACAGATTATTTAATTAGTAAGTAGTACTTATTTTTACTTTTTTTTATACACAAAAGACAAGTAATTGGTAAACATGAATTTAAGGATAAGAAGTGCTTTTTTACTTTTTTATAGACGAAATAAGAATTTCAAATAAAAAACGAGCATTTACTAATTAAGAACAATTTAGTTTTATTAAATAGATACAGATAACAAAAATAAGTTGCATTAATAAGTTAATTAGCAAGAAGTTCAGTTATTCTTAAATGGCTAGAGAATATCACAAGTACAATTTACAGTACATATACATTAAAAAAATTAAATTTGAAGTATTTTCTGATTTTAAATTAAATTTTCTTTGAAATATTTATTGTTTACACCATTATTTGTCGGTTTTATCAATAGGTTGAATAGAATCAAAATCAATTCTTACAACAGCCCCTGCCATTTTGGAACCATAATAGCCTTTCCAAAATTGTTTATCTTTGCCTTCATGCATAAAATTGATTTTCCTGACCCCCTTAGGATAATCAGTGAGACTCACAGATATCTAAAAAAGAGATAAAACGCATTATACATTAGTTTTAGGTGATCAGTAAACATACCTTGGTCCATCTTGGTTCTGACCACTGTTCACGTTCAAATGATTTATCTGCTTCTGCTAAATTTTCATCTTTTTCATTTAGTAAGATGAGTCTCATCCAGTAAGTGCTTCCACAGTCACCTCTGCATGTGACCCATTCACTGGCATGAATGTGGGGTTTATATTCATTTAATACATATAAAAATAGTTTACTCTTCAATTCTATAACTTGTTCTTTTATGCAAGCTGAAAATGAAGTAGCAAAGCAACTTGTATGTCCATTAAATTCAGGGACATTCACTGGCAATAGATTAGAACCACATGGTCGTTCTTCTACCCTAAAACCATCCCCTCCATTTGCTATTATATTCCAATGTTCAAACTGACTCTCTCCATTTCCATTTTTAATTAAATTGGTGTCAAAATAATTCATAGCAAACAAACAGTAAAACAGATACCAGGGTAGTTGTTTGTGGATAATCCTGTTGTGTTTCTCACTTACATTTACCCAAAATAGATGGGATCTTGTGATGTTATACCAGTTTTTACAAACTAAACCCAGTTTTAGTATCTCTTTGGGGTCCACATAGCTTAATATCTCTAATATCATTTCTTCAGGAATAGTTCTCCCCAATAGAATAAAGCCATTATTTTCATCATTGTCTACATCAAATTCCTTCAAAAGTAATGGTATTTTTTCGTTTCCACCCATCATGGAGAAATACCTCTTAAAGTGGTTTGTGATGTTTGTGATATCCAGCTTGTCTATGTATTAAACAAATGATGTAATTTGCACTTTAGTATTATAGACAGATGGATCCTTATTTATTACTTAAAACTTATGTTTTGTACATCAGCGAATAAAAATAACAAAAACAAGGAAAAACAAGAGCACGAATACAGACCGATAAGAAAGTGAAAATATTTTTAGGTTAATTTATGGTTTTTAACCTTACTTTTTGTAGGTGTCATCAGTATCATTCCATTTGATACAAAAAGAGAATATTAAGAGAATAAAATAGTAAACAATGACTACAAATAAAAAAGAACTGGAAAATGAAATACGTACTTTAAAGGAAATACTATACCAGAAAGAAAAGGAACTGGAACAATTAAATAAAGTGTTTGTAAGGTTACCTTTAATTTTGTAGAACTGTTGTACACCACTATATTCTAGGAAAAGAGTAGTAATTTATCACCCTCAGAGATCTCCAGGTATAGTAGACAAATAATATTGCCTTCTGTTGGAGTTGAGGGTCAGTTAACATTAAAGAAAAGTGCTGTCCTAATTGTAGGGGTTGGAGGGCTAGGATGCCCTGCTGGTCAGTATTTAGCAGCTGCAGGAATAGGTAAAATTGAGAATTACTCTTAAGTATTCCTTTATTTTAAGTTAGTTAATTTTTAAAGGTAAATTAGACATATTAGACAGTGATGAAGTTGAGATCACAAATTTACACAGACAAATCCTTCATGTAGAAAGGAACATAGGAGAGACAAAAGTAAAGTCTGGATATGACTCTCTGAAAAGGTCTAATAAAAGTATAACATTGATGTTAAATTGAAAGTAACAAGTTATTTTTCTTTTTAGGCTAAATAGTAATGTAGAAGTAAATCCTTTGGAGTTACATGCAAATGGAGAAACTTTACAAAAAGTGTTCTCTGAAAACAAATACGACGTTGTTGTTGATTGCACAGATAATGTAGCAACACGATATTTGTTAAATGATATGTGTGTATTTAACAAAGTTCCTTTGGTATCTGGCAGTGCTTTACAATTGGAAGGGCAGCTGACAGTCTATAATTACAAAAAGGGGTTGTGTTATCGTTGTCTATTTCCAGTTCCCCCTCCTCCTCAAACTGTAACAAGCTGTGGAGAAGGTGGAGTTTTAGGAGCGAGTAAGTTTATTCTAAATATTTCTGTTAATTTTAGAATAAGCGACAGCAGAGTAATATAAACTTTAAAATTGTTTTACAAATTGTTAAGTTGCCCTATTGCTAGTTTACATTATTCTGGTTAAAACAAAACCAGTTGTTTTATAGCACTTCATTGTAAAAAACACTATTTTTTTTAAATCTGAAATAAGAATACAAATTAATATTAGGGGTGGTTATATATGCTAATTTTTTCATTATAATTAGTTATAATCTGTTTGAATGACGTTCTTATATTTTTATATTTAATAATCTAATTCAATACATTAATAAAAGTAAATCTTTAGTTCCTGGAGTAATTGGTGTCCTGCAGGCATTGGAAGTGATAAAAATTCTCTTGGACTTCCCAGGAGTGTTATCAGGACGATTATTAATTTTTGATGGGTCTGACACAGTATTTCGGAATATTAAACTACGCCAAAGAAATCCTCAGTGTGTAGTATGTGGAGATAATCCGGTCATAACGAAACCAATCGATTATGAGCAATTTTGTGGCTCAAAAGCAGCAGATAAGGTTCGAGAATGATATTAATTTTAATGTTACATTAATATATTCATTACTTAGGTGACTGATATAAAAATACTCAACTCTAACGATGAAACAGATGTGAAAGAATTTAATTCAATTACTAAAAAAATTGTTATCGACGTACGACAGGAGGCTGAGTTTCAGATGTGTCATCTTCCAAATTCGATTAATATTCCATACAAAAATATAGTTAAAGGCATTAATTTGGAGGCTCTGAATGAAATTTTAACTGGCGTTAATGATAATGAGAAAGGTAAAGATGGTAAAGTTGCATTTTGACTTATTTGTAATTTAAAGTTGGATTCTTTTGCTTTTAGTTTATTTCTTGTGTAGAAGAGGTAATGATTCCCAGAGGGCGGTTTCTTTGCTAAAAGAGAAATTTAACGATTCTTGTGCCATATTATTGAGTGTTGCAGGTGGATTAAATGCTTACAGTAAGTTAATTGATCCATCATTTCCATTATATTAGTGTTAGAAACTGTTTCAATCCAATTAAAAAATAATTCAGTCGAAAATCGTAAAAAATGGTTGTGATATTTGTATCTTTTACTAGTATTAAATTATCATAATGTAAAGGTCATTAATCTTGTAACTCCAGATACAAATAACAAAGATGAAATATTTTATTGTTTTGTGTACATGCATAGCATAGCTTTTTTAAACAAAGTAATTTAATTATACTGACCAGTTTATTTTATTTGCATGTTACAATAAAAAAATTACTGCATCTCAATGTATAATACTTACTTTTTTAATTAATATTTTCTTACGTTCTTATTTGTAGATTTAAAACTTTAGTCTGTTTATTATTTTTTTTATAAGCACAGGGTGTATTTATTTTGTTGTGTACTGTAAATTCGTCACACAAATTGAGGATATTAAATTAGTGCTGATTAACTCTAGATTTCGTAATTACTACCTATTTCTGGTCATAATAATTTCCTTAAAACCTACTTATATTATTCCTACAAATTTTCATGATTAATCTAATAGTTTTAAATCTAACCTTTACACCTTACGTATCTGATTGGAAAGTTGTACAGATTATCATCAGATTATATTTGATGAATTGTAGTGATTAATGTATGTTGCTTATTATAGACTATAAAGTTTGTTTTTATCAGAGTTCTTGCTGTGAGTAAATGTAACTTATTGGTTTCTATAATTTCACAATTTTTTAGGTAAGTTTTGGAATGCTTTGTTTTACTTTGTGTTTTTTAATATTTTCTTGGTGAAATCATTTTTTTTTGTTGTAAAATAAAAGATATACTTGGTGATTAACTTAATGTAAAATTAAAGCAAATATGTATTTTAAAACTTCAATATCATTATAAGTGAAAGTTTTTTTTATTTGTGGAAATATTTTGAAGTAAGAACAAATTAATTAGTAATAAATGTATTTAAGTTTCAATAGTGTTTTCTTTTTTTTTTTTCTTTTTCA